GAAATTTTTTTTTTTTTTTTTTTTTGCACGCAGAAACATTTTTTTCTTTTCATTTTTTTTTTTTTAGTTTTTCTTCGAACAAAACGGCGAAGATGATGACCTGTTCAGACGTGAGCCTGTTACTGGAAGTTGCCGAGTTATGTGCTTTCATCCCGATCCAAACATGACCCTTCCACTCATGAGTGTTTCAGAGATCACTCAGGTGATCAGACAATGGAAAGAAGAGCTGGTTGATCTTGGAGAAAAGTTCAATTGGGTCCAGATATTTGAAAACAAGGGGGACATTATGGGGTGCTCTAATCCGCATCCTCATTGTCAAATCTGGGCGTCGTCCTTCTTGCCAACTGAACCCAGGACCAAGGATGAGCAGATGAAGAAGTACTTTGAGAAGCATCAGGAACCGATGCTTGTTCGTTATGTTGAGAAAGAATTGCAGAAGAAGGTGTGGCTTTTTTTTCCTATATGGTGATTGTTGCAATAATTGCCAGGCGTTTTTTTGAGGCCAAGGGCCACATTGTAGAGTCCTTGTGGGCCAAAATAGACAATAATTTTCAAGGTATCAAATTTTTCGATTTTCAATAAAAAGTTCGGAATTTATTTCAGTGCTAAACATTGAATCACGATTATAGTTCAGTAGAATTTTTTCCAAGGGTTGAGCAACATTTTGAATTTTAAAATTTCATCTTTCAAAATAACATATTTTGAATATTGGTGACCGCCACTTTGACAATTATGTGGGAGGGACCGCAGGATAGCTGAAGATTCTCTGTGGGCCTGATCTAGCCTGCGGGCCATATATTGGGCAGCATTGATTTCGAGAGTTCCATAAATTTGTGCGGAAGGATTGTTGGTTGAGTATTCTGAGCTTTTTATTGGTCTTTTGTTTCAAGGAAAGAATCGTTTTGGAAAACGACGATTGGGTCGTCTTGGTTCCCTATTGGGCCTTTTGGCCCTACGAAACAATTGTGTTGCCAAAGAAGCCGGAAAGGAACAGTTGCATAAAAAGGTTGACGGATTTAAAAGAAGATGAAGAAACTTCGTTGGCTGATGCGATGAAGCGTTTGACTGCGAAATATGACAATTTATTCAAGTGCTCGTTTCCTTATTCAATGGGCTTCCACGGTAAGTTCTTCTTATTTTTCTTTTTTTTTTTACAGAAGAGTGCAACAAACATCATTGAACATAAATTTCAAGTATTCAAAGTTGCCGTTTACGCCGTATTTTTTTATCTTCGTGATCATTTCAGTTTTATGTTATTTGTGTCGAATTTTTAAGACAAATTTCGAATCTAACCGAAAGAAATTTTAAAGGGTGAGCCAATGAAAATAATCAAAGGATTTTTAAACTGTTTTATTCATTTTGATTAGTTACAGTTATTGAAAAAATTCCTCAGTTTTCAGGGAATCTTATAAGACTTTTCTTTAAAGAAAAAGTGAATAAACTGTGTTGCCTGAAAAATGGAGGAATTCGTGTAAAATTTTTTGCATTTTTTTCTGGTTCATCCGATTTCAGGCTTTGTGCTGCATCTTCTTGAAATTCAGTAGAAAGTCATTCATTCCCGTTACGATATGAACATTGACCTGGTTGACTTTTTTATTGTTTCCTTTTTCTGCTCATTCCTCTTTATAATCTCATATTTTGAGGTTTGACTCGATTTGCTGTGTCTTTAATAAAAGGTGCCCCGACTGGATCAAGACTAAATTCTGACAATGATCACTGGACCCTTCACGCCGTCTATTATCCTCCTTTGCTTCGTTCAGCGACTGTCAAAAAATTTGTGGCTGGGCAAGTTTGATTAATTTTTTTTCTTTTAGAAAATCTCATTCTGAAGTACGATTTTATTTCTCGTTTTCAGTTACGAGTTATTGGCTCAACTTCAAATTGACGTTTCACCGGAACGGAGTGCTTCGATTTTGAGATCTTTGCCAGAGATTCATTACAGGAATCAGTGATAATTTGTGGGTTGATGTGGTAATTTTATCTCAGCAATATTTTTGTACATATTATTGGACACGGAGAAGGCTGTTATGGAATGAAAACGCGAGCAATAAAACTGCTTTGTAAACTGCTGTTTTGTTTTCGTGAACGCGATTAAAATCGTGGGACTGTTNGCGTGTTGTTTATCCCGTATGCGCTGAATGACATGGATGGATATGCCGAGGTTGCGAAGAAGGCTTTTCTACGAATGGGTTTGTCCAACGAGAAACATTTTTCTTTTTGAAAAAATATGATATGGATTGAGACGTACGGTATATTTCATTTGAAGGCATTGAACTGGACAGCATTCACACGTTTTCGGATCCCCATTGGGCTGCCGAAAAGGCCACAGGCTTCTTTGTTGGCGGTGGGAACACGTTTTTGCTCCTCAAAAGGCTTTACGAGGCGGACATCATGGATATAATTCGTCGTCGAGTCCTTCAGGTCAGATAGAGTTAGTTACATCGAGTATATCGGGTGAACATTTTTTTGAGATTTTATTTGTTTGAATAATTTACTGCAAATTTAATTTTTTTCCTGTTCGTTTCAGAACGGAATTCCGTATGTGGGAAGCAGTGCAGGGACGAATGTGGCGACAGTGAGCATTAATACTACGAATGACATGCCGATTGTTCAGCCACCGAGTTTCCAAGCCATTGGATTGGTACATTTCAACATTAATCCGCACTACGTCGACCCTGATTTGTCGTCCAAGCACATGGGGGTAAGGGCGAGTTGATGAGATTCACTGGTCAACGAAATCCGTCTAACGAAAATTTTCAAGGGAAAAAACTTGATCCACTTTACGAAATTATTTCAATTTGTTGGCCCCAAAATTCGAAAATTTTGACAAGCTTTGAACGAGAGCTTGAGAATTTTTCGAAAAATGAAGGATAAAGGCGTTTTGTTTTAAATGTTCTTCTATTTATAATGTGAGAAATTTAGAAAGTTATGAGCGGAAACCATGCTGAACAATAGGAAATTCAGAATTTTCTGCTGAAAAATGCAGTAATTTCATGGTTTAATTGCGGTGTTTTGGTGAGTGCTGACTGGGACCAATTGAATCGCCTACTGTATAATTTAGTCGTGAGGGAAAATGAGTTTCCCATAAAGAAAATTTGACATGACGAAACTCATCCAGGAATAGATTTGTTTCGTAACGCGGCGACCCACTGTGTATAGATTCTCACGATTTTGATTCTCTTAGTTGATCATTATTTGTTGGTCAAATCGTGTCATATTCTATGTTTGTACGCTTGTTTAATTGTGTTTTTCTGAGGTTATGTCAGATTTGATTTGGTGTTTCGTATTTCGGCGGGTCTGTCAATTTAGAAGAATGGGTTGTCAAATCAAAGGGCTCGGATTTGGCTTGATGGTTGCGGTTCTTCAGCAAGTGGCCTAAAATATTCCAGTAATAAAATCTTCTTTTACTGAAAATTAGATCACGGCACTGTAATAAATCGGGTAGGCGATTTTGAGGGCGTAATGATTCAGGCGACACCTGCCCAACATCCCAGGAAGCATGGTTTTGTGGCTTTTGGCTAGGATCCGACAATTAGACTTCGTTTTTAATGTAGTATATATTTTTTGCAGGAGACGCGAGAGAAACGGATTAGGCAATATCACGAAGTCCAGGATACTCCACCAGTGTTGGGCATGCGAGAGGGCAGCATTTTGAGAATCGAAGGCAACAAAATCGAGCTGTTGGGTGTTAATGGAGCCAGGCTTTTTATTCGGCGAGTAATTTTTTTTTTGGGGAATCTATGTTGGATTCATTGGAGATTTTAGTTTCTTAATTCTTGACGAAATTTTTATAATTTCATCGAATTTTACAGGGATGAACCCCCGCAGGAATTCGCCCCAGGTTCGGACTTGAGTCAAATTTTGCCGTCAGAAGCAGCGTTTGCCGAGAGCAACAAGTGAATTATCCTGTCGTGTTTACATTATTCAAAACTTGATTACTCGAGGAATGTGTTCAAATCTATGTGAAATGATTTTTCCGGGGATACCATGATTTTTATTTTGCTCTGTTGCTTGTAAGACGCAGAAAAAATACGCATTGGGCTTTCCGTAGTTGCTATTCTGATGGGGAGAATAGTCGAGGTCGATGTGATGCGCATTCCAAATTCCGTGCGTGATTTTTGTGGGAGAAAACGTTTTTTTCAGAGCTGTGAACCGTTCCCGCGTTGAGAAATTCGGCTATTAGTTTCGAATTTTATCTATGCAGCCAGTTATCGTCGCGTTTTTGCAATTCTTAAAAGGTTGAAATTACTTCTTAGACGCTAGAAGAAATTATTTCTTCTTCTGCTATGCAAATATAAGGACTGTATTGGTGCGTAATTTTTTTTCGAACGATGGATGTTAGTGTGTGTGAAATATCGGGATTTTTAGGCTTTTCTCAAGAATTTCCTCAAGGCTTTTTTTACGTCGTGTAGGTGTCGCTCTTTTTTTGTCGTAGCGAGATGAATTTGTGGTCATATTCGTTGTTCACGGCGGCGACGACGTCGTTCGTGTACATCATGGGGTATTTTCGGTTCAGTCCCGCGTGGATTCTCGCTGCTCTCGGCACTTCGTATGTTTTCGAAAGAAATCGTGAAAAGAGAAACTTTAAACTGAAGTTCAACCAGATGTTGGCGACGACGGACGAAAAGGAGATCATTTCTAAAGTTTGGAAGGTCAGCTTTTTTGAAATCAATTTTTTCGCGTTGAAATCAGTATGAGAAAATGTTTTATTTAAATCGCAGGAACTTCCAGCATGGGTGTTTTTTGCGGACATGGAACGAGCTGAATGGTTGAACAGAGTCATCAGAAGGTTGTGGCCGTTCATTGGACATTTTGTCAAGAAATTGCTTGAGAAGCAAATTGAACCGCAGGTTGCGGAAACCCTCAAGTTCTACAAAATCAATAGTTTTCGGTTTGTCAAAACGAATCTCGGCAACGTGGTGAGTGTGTTTTTTTGTGTGTGTGTTGGTTTCCACCATTTGAAACGTTGAATATCTTGATTTAAATCAATTCATTTATTTTTTTGCGAAAGCCTCCGAGAATCGGTGGAGTGAAAACCTACGGACAAAAGACGGACCGGAAGGAAGTTGTGATTGACATGGAGATCATGTGAGTTGAGAGAATGTACTTTATTCTTGATGTTTCTGAGCAGTGCAATTCCTGAACTAAGGAACGAGGGAAATTCAACATTTCATCGACTTCGTGCCAAAATAAAAAAAAATTATCGTCTTATAGAAAATCATTCATTATCACCTGAGTTGAAGTGAAACCCACTGGAAGATTCCTTCTTGAATATTCCTGAGTGTCTTCGAAGAAATAGTTGAAAAACTTTGAAGAAGTAATGAACCGATTTCATCAGTATTGTACTGTATAAGGTACTGTATTTGCTTGAGGATCGCACACCTTTGAAAAAGACACCCACCTGAAGTTTTCAGATTAAAATTTGAATAAAATTGTATCCCTGAGTGGGACACAAGCCCAATTTTTTTTAGACTGGAAGTTGAACTTTTATTTTTGAAAATGAAACGCATCAACATTTAAAATTCGACTTGAATTTCAATCAAATTAAATTATGTCATGTTTTCTTTTCTTCCAATTCCTGTTGGAATTGGTTTAAATTTCCCTGATAGAATCAAGTGTGACTTGCACCAATGAAACTTCGACAATTTTTAAAATGTACCCACGTATGACACGCACCCTTTTCCCCCGCTTAATTTACAAAATAAAAAATTGAGCGTCCTACGCAATATATGATATGCATATGAAAAGGGAGTAATACATGTACTTGTTAAGTCTCAGATCAGATAGGTCTAGAATCTAGATAATCTCGAAGTCAGAGATTCGCATGAAGAAAGAATAAGCTTAAAACAATCTTCAAAGGAATTTCTCCTCCTATTGCAGTACGTGTAATGTATAATTGTTTGATGCAGGTATGCCGGAGACTGTGAGTTCGAAGCAGTTGCGAGTGGGATGGCATTTGGGATAACAGATGTTCAGCTGAAAGGAATGATGAGGGTTGTGCTTCAGCCGCTTTTGCGAGACATGCCGATTGTTGGGGGAGTTCAGGCATTTTTCCTGCAACCCCCTTCCCTGGACTTCAACATGACGAACATTGCAAATGTTTTGGAAATGCCAGGAATCAAGTCAGTCGACTTATTATTATAGATCATTTTTTATGTTTTATTATTTTTTTAAAACTCTCCTTCCTTTCTGTAAAAACCAGGGACTACATAAGGGAAACCGTCTTGCAACAGATCAACGCCATGATAGTTGTGCCCAACAAATATGTCTTCAGTTTGTCTGACCAGGTTCCTTTGGCATCTCTGCGTATTCCGGACCCTCATGTGAGAGAATAATAGAGTAATTCGTTTTAAACTTTAGCAATAATTAATAATTACAATAATAATGATGATGATAATGTTTTAATTATAGTAAGCTTATAATTATAATAAGCGTATAATTATAATGGTGATAATAATCTTATACAGTACTGTAATTGTGATAATGATAATAATCTTATACAGTACTGTAATTGTAATAATTATAATAATCTAATAATAATAATACGTGTATATTAAAATTATGATAATCTTATGATTATAATAATACATTTATAATTTTAATACACATTTTATAATTATAATACTTTTCTAATGTAGTGATTATAATTTTATAATTTAGTAATTATGCTAATTTTGTAATTTATCATTATGATAATTTTGTAAGAATGATACTAATTTTATAGTAATTATGATAATTTCATACTTGTGAAAATGATAATAATTTTACTATTACTGTAAAACAATTTTATACTTATAATAATGATAACAATTTTATAATTATAATAAGAATTATATATACTGTATAAGGTATGACAAGTGTAAGTACAGTATATAATATTGTTGTTGAGCTTGTTTTGTTTTGTTTTTTTCTCTGGATCAGGGAGCTTTAAGGGTTCTGATCCTCGAAGCGAAAGAGTTGGAAAGGAAGGATATTGGATTGCTGAAAAAGGGGAAGAGCGATCCGTACGCCAAAATTTCCATTGGGGGTTTCTCGGAGAAGACGCATATTTTGGAGGACACGTTGGCCCCCGTGTGGAATTACTGCTGCGAGGTGGGTTTCGAGCTTTATATCGTCGTCGCATGAGAATTTGATTTTGACAAAAATATTGTTCATTCCTCTCCTTTTCTCTGGAGGTCTAGGTTGAAATGAAATGGTGGGTGGGGGATGTACAGTATGATTTGAATAATTACTATTCGTTCCTTCTCACGTAAACACCTTACGTTCATTTTTCCACTTTCTCAAGGTGCGTTTATTGAAAGTATTTCCGGAGAACTGTTGCAATGGCTAGTTTTTCAAGAAATCTCAAAGTCAATCACGAAAATAAACAATTGAAATGACAAACAAAAGAAATTGGAATCATTTTTCATGTACAGCTTCTCTTTCTGAAATGAACCTAAAAAAAAAAAGAATGTCAATTTTGTTCATCATGTAATGGAAAAATTTCGTTTTTTGTTTTCATCATGAAATTCATGAGAATCCAGCAAGAATGTACGAGTTTCGTTTGTTGGATGTGACTGGAATAATTACGCAGATCAAGATGATAGTTGAATGAGAATTTTTCATCTCGTTGTACTTCGAATATCATAGACTCCATTGATCGATCAAGTCAAAATAATTTCATTAACCAACAATTTGATGATCATCTCACCGCTGAAAAAAATCAAACTAGAAAGAAAAATACTGTATTAACCTTGACGCGTGGGATTAAGCGATGATATGATTAAGCCCAGAACCAGTAAGATTAACACGAAAGAAAGCTTTTCAATTTGAAGGTGTTTTAATTGGGACTGGGACCCCGCATTGCCAGGCCAGGTCAATGATGACTTTCTAGGAAGGTATTTCACTTTTTCCCCCTCTCTTCGAGAAGATGGCGATGAGAATATCTCTATAGTGGTTTCCTTACATCTTGTTTTCATTATACACTGATCTCACACCCCTTTCAGTCACGGAATGGTTTTGCCAAAACAAAAAAGTGTCCTGATTAAATCTCATCCAGATGCTCAGTCGCATGGACAGGATGAATTCGCTGTTTGCTTTGTCGACTTGTGTGCGTGGGTTTCCTTAGTGTTGCTTTTTTTTATGCCAGGCTGGGGTAAAAAAGGGGTGGTCTTTGCGTTTTTTTGTCGTTTGTTTGTGTATGTGCTGCTGGGACCCATGGGGACGAGGAACAATTTGTCAGACTAATAGATTTTAGCACAGTGCTGTCCCAACTCAGGTGTAGCCAAGGGCCACGCTTTTTTTTTTCTTGGTGGCCAATTGAGGGCCATATTGCAGACTTGGAGTGTCCTTCCGGGCCACAATAGACAGTATGATAAATTTGTCCATGTTGGATTTTTTTCCCCGAGTGGCTCCAGATTAGTTTCCAATTTTTAATGAAAAGTTTCAAAAACTTGTCTGTCTACATGCATAATATTAAATCGAAAGCATAGCCTGTAGAATTTTCAAGGGTGTTGAACGACATTTTGAATCTTTAAAATTCATTTGTGATGCAATCTGAATATAGTGGCTGCTGTGGGGACAGATGAAGAGTCTCCTCAGGCCAGATCTGGCCCGTGGGCCATATGTTGGGCAGCACTGTTTTAGCATGTATGGTTATACATATACAGTATATATTTTTGCGATGAAAGGCGAGGGTTCAGTTGGTGAATAATTAAAAGCGCTGGTTTTTTTTTGTGATCGCTTTCGCTTCCTTATTCAAGTCGCCAACGTACGTTGGAACTGGGAAAACGAAATTGGAGGTTGAAATTTTCGACTACGACTCAATTGGGCCCACGGAAACTGCCGAAGAGTTTCTAGGAAGGTATTTCTGGACCAATTATTTCTTGTCGTTTGAGGAAGAAAATAAAATCTCGGTGCTGGTCGATTTGGATTTCCGGTGAAGGCGGCAATAAAAGTGGGAATGCGGGTTTTTTTTTTTTTTTCGGCAAGGATTCCTGTCCTTATAGACGTAGACACTCTTGATATTCGTTTTTTTTCCCGACTAACGACCGTCACCCTCTTTATTCACTTAGTTTTTCTTCCAATTTTTTCATGTGCTACCAACTTTCACTTAGCGTTGAACTCATTGAAATTGATTTTTATATGCCTATTGGAGAATTTATGAGGTGTTCCTTTTTAAATCAGGGCCGTTTTGGACATGGCAACGTTGGCTGAGAAAGGAACTTACGATGACGTGAGTATTACGAGGCATGCAATTTTACTTTTTCCATTTTAACGCCCAGCCTGGGTTCCGAAAATATCCGGCAGATGTCGCGTGAATCATCTATCATTCTACCCTATCATAAATATGCTTTACTCTAATGCTAGAAGTATTTTATTATACTCAATCAGATACGACAAGCTCTCAAGTGAGACGCATTCCGTGATTTTTGTTTTTGTAAATTTTGATGGAAAGACGTGCACCCCATTTTTATTCGCTAAAAAACTCGAGTACAAAAAAAAAAAGATGCACCAGATTTTGAATCTGTTTGAGTGAATTCAGACTGAATTCAATCAATTTTGAGCTATTCCAATTAAATAAAACCCCTTTCAAAAGTGGCCCAAAACTTATTATTGGAATCCAGTGTGACACGCGCCTAAAATTCTAAATTTTTTATCAATTTCATGCCCAATTGTGATGTGCACCCACCTTTTTTCTTCTCAACTTTGAGAAAAAATGTGTTTGTAGCATTTAATTGAATACAGTGATCTGAAAATCAAATTTGCACACAATTTTTCTTGCGTTTGGAATTTTTTTATCTTTAAACAAAAGTGGAGTTTTTTTTTACTTTTGCTGTGGAAAAAACGGGTGCAGGAGAAAATCCCGCGGCCCGAAAATCCCGTAGGCTGAAATATCTCGCGGAGTCCGAAAATCCCGAATACTACAAAATTGTGATATTATCTCTGAGTTTTCCTTCCAACAGCGTTTACTCTTCTGTGGCCTTTGGGTGGGAATCTTGTCAAGTTTAATGGCTCGTTGAATAAAAAAAAATTTATCATGTGCTGTACATTGAAATTTGACGAGATGAAATATACTTATATAACTGCATTTAGACTTCTTTGATGATTTATAAATTATTTACAGACCATCACCATCATATATGTAGATGTCATAGGAGGTTTTTTTTATGTAAAAATTCATGTTTTGAGGGCAAAGTAGAACTGAAAATAATTGGAAAAGTGAACAATTTGCTTACAAAACAAATGCAGGGACAAAGTCTTGATCCAAATGAAGGTTACATTTTTCTCAGGTTTCCTCAGGAGAAAGGTGAGGAAGTGAAGTTGAGGCTCTATTGACAAAGGTAATTAAACCTAAACCTTGGAAATTTCTGGAAAGAAACCCCTTGCACTTTCCCCATTTCATAATCCACCATATCCGCATTCCTCCCCGGCAGTTGAAAAGAAAACTTGGAGATAATATCACAATTTTGTTGTATACGGGATTTTCGGACTCCGCGAGATTTTTCGGCCTACCGGATTAACGGCCTCACGGGATTTTCGCGCCGCGGGATTTTTTCTCCTACCCGAGTTTATCATGGAACTGGAAAAAACATGGTTTTCTCGTTTCTTGAATCGTATTGAATCGTCCAACCTTGACCTTCTCTCTTCTTAGTGGCTGAACCTTGAAGATGTGAAGTCAGGAAAGCTTCATTTGAAGGTCCAGTGGCTGAATTTCTCCAACAATGGTGCGGATTTGCCAATTGTAAGAAAGTAACTTTTCTTGTGTGCAGCATTGTTGAAGCTGTTGATTTATTATCAATGTGGTAAAAATTCTCCAGGCGACCAAGAGTTTCCAACACATGGAGCATTCCAAAGGTCCCGGTCCTTCCTTGGCAGTCGTTTACGTGTACGTGGACTGCGCCAAGAATTTACCCGTGAGCTTCACATTCTTTTATTTATTCCTTTTTTAAATATTTCAATTAACGCGCGAGGTATTTATTTTTAATTCAATTTCAAGGGCGTCGGAGCGGCGAAAGTTGAGCCAGAAGCCAGAGTGAAAATCTCAGTTGAAGGAAACACCGCGTTCACTGCTGCTTGCACTCGGGCCTTGGATCCCGTGTGGGAAGAAACGCACTCGTTTTTCATCAAATCCGTGAACCAAGATGTCACATTTGATGTATGTGTGTCACAATCCCTGCAGTAATTTTCTGCTGACAAATCCGTATTCATTTCATTTTTAAATTTCAAGGTGGAAGACAGGAGAACCGGGAAAATTTTGGGCTCAGCATCTGTGGCAATAGCGAAGCTGTTGACTGAAGAAAATCTGGAATTATTCCAAGTTCCGCTTCAATTGATTCGGAAAGACCTGAAGAAGAGTTCGTCTGCGACTGAAACCTGTCCTGAGATTGTGGCAACACTGCGGATGAGAGTGAGATTTCCGGCAATTTTCCTGATCTCAGGATATTCATACTTTATTGATTCGAAAGAATAATCCTGGTTCTTCATCGTCATGATTAAAAATGTATTGTCAGCAAAATTTCCTGACTTCGATAAAACCAGAAGGGTAGATTTTGGAATTGTTTTCAGATTTTTTTTTTGGAATACAGCTTCGAGTTTTCATGCAAATCAACACGACGTTTTTGTAGGCCGTTGAATATTAATATTGTAAATGCGGAGTTGAGTACAAAAAATTTGGTTGAACAGCTTCTGTAAGAATAATTCTTCGTCATCGCAAATTATTATTGTTTTTTCCGCAGTTGTTGATGCCAGGAAACTTGGATCATGAGGCCCTAGAATCCTTGACTCTTGCGGATGACCACGATGAAGAACTGAGGGACGATGCAAATGCGACTTTGTGCGAGACCAAAGAAAAGTCTCCGGAAATTCCGCCGGAATCTGTATCACCGACTCGTGCGACATCTGGTGAGCTCATGTTCGTGTTCTAATCTGCCTTTCTGCACCGACCTGATTTTCCTTAACTTTTCCGTGTTTTTTTGTGGGATGTAATTTCGGAATTATTTTTTAAATTTATCGTGTGAGTTTTCAAGAGCTTCACTAAATTAGACATAGTGTTTGGGAAGGATGGGCGAAACCTTGAGTGTTTTTTTAAAAATCCAATAGTTCTTCATTAGCTTATTGCGGAAGTGCTTTTTTTTGTGTTGGTTTGAATATGCGATGATTTATGTGTTCGTTCAGTTGTCCCTGTGCCTGTCCCAAATGCCGCAGTTCCCAGTGTGAAAAAGATAGAAGAGGTTCTACCCGAGAAAAAGAATGAGCCCACAGAGAAACCCGCGAATGTTGCAGTTCCAGCTGTCAAGCAACCTTCCGTGGACAGTCAGTTTGGAATTGAGTCCTTGGTGAAGTCTGCCATGGCACCCGTGTCTGCAACAACTGGCGACCTGAGGAAGAGGACGTCGTGAGTCTCGCAATATGTTTCGTTATAGGTGTGAAATTTTGTATGCAGTATTTTTGTTTTATTATAATTTTTTTTAGAAGCAGCGCTGGAACAAGCGGCCTTGGCAAGGTCCAGCTCAGTCTCCGCTATGTGGCCCCCAAGTCCAAGCTTCTGGTGGTGCTTCATAAATGCGTGTAAGTAATTTATTTTGTGATTCCTCAACAACACAACTCACTGCGAAAATTCAAGTACTGTACTTTTGAGATTTTTTTGGAGTTTTTGAAAATGCACATGACCTTCACCCGTAAGGATATGTTTTTGAACGTACATTCCTTGAGTTTTTGCTCAACTGAAATTTCAGGACGACCGTCACATGCAGCATCACTTCTGAAAATATCCCTCAAAAAGGATTTTTATTGCGAATATTTTTATAATGAGGATTCTAAAGACAGGTTTTTGAGCAGTTTAATAATTGCTCTGATTTGGTTTGACGTGTTTCCAACAAAGTGATTATTTCAATTTCAGAAATATTAGGTGCAATTTTTCAATACTTCCCAACTTTATTTCAATATTGATGAATAAAAAATGCATTTGGAAAAACATATCTTCGAACATTTTTTGTTACGTCAAAAGGTAGCAAATATTGGAGTTATCCATCATTCCAATTCACACTAACCCTGAAAGTTATCACCCTTTCAAGCACAGGAATGAATACTGTGTATAGTGAATTGAAAAATATATATTTGAGTTGTTGTGCGAGTTGTCCTATAATATTTTTTTTTCAGTCATCAGGCGTGAATAATACCCCGGTCTATGAAGTATCAAGACTTTCTCATGATTGACTTTTGAAAAGTTATTTAGAGCCACGCGTGAGTAGGACAACCCTTCAAGAATCCCCATCAAACCTTAAGCTTGGTGTGAATGTACAGTACTAGGCCACTTTTTTTCACTCATTTTGCTACTGATCCCCTCAGACGCGTGTAAAAATTCTTATAAAATAATTTGTTATTTGAAAAAATAAACAAATATATTCCTTTTGGACTGAATATTTTCAGGAATTTGCCGATGGAGCCATCTGATGAGAATGAACTCCCAGACCCGTATGCCAAAGTGAGCATTTTGCCTGACCGTGTGGCCACGAAGCAGAAAACCACGCATGTCAAGGACGACAGGAACCCAGTGTTTGACATTTCGTTCGAATTCAACGTTGGCAAGGCTGAACTTTGCGCGAGAACCCTGGAGGTCATCATATTATCCAAGAAGGGCAAAGTCGCGAAATTGTTCCGGAAGTCTCCAGTTTTGGGACACGTGAGTTTTTAAATTTATTTATTATTATTTTTTCGATATAGAAAACTGTGTCATGTGCAAACCCCATCAGCTGGGATATTTTTTTATAATATTGTACAGTATTGTTAGGTATAAAATACCTTTCGACCAAGAATGTTTTTGTGCTTCTAAAGTTCTAAAGCTTCACTTTTATAGTTGACACTAGAATAACTTTCACTTTAGTAAAAGTGAGATTGGCTTTTAAGGTCTGGATTCTTGGTGAGCGCCACTTTTAAGAATGAGTGGGATACCTTTTTCATTTCCAGTGTGATGCTGTCATTGCAAAATTTAATCATTGTATGCAGTTTTTTATGAACAATCACCATTTGTACCAGAGGACCCTGAACATGATGTAACCAGCTTCAAGCATTGGATTTTTTTAAAATCTTCCTATAATTTTGAACATGATGCCCAGGTGTGGTTGAGGACCCCCAGCTTGTGGACAAATTAAACTAGAGGAGATTTCTTCGTTGCAGCAAGGGTTGTATTCAAGAAATGAATGTACTGTATAATCTGCTTTCTAAAGATAAGCGAATGAAATCGATACGTTAGCCCAACATGCAACAATTGAATGACGAATCAGACAATTGGCACTCTTAAAAGGTCTCTCAATCAACACAATTCATCACCTCAGACATTCAAAATAAAGTGTGACAGGCTAGAAGGGTGTTGTCCTTAAAAATTGCCCATGATCAGAAGCAATGCAAGTTGTAAGGTAAAACCACAGCACCAGGATGCATGTCTGTGGTAACTATTTTTTGAATTTAAATTGGGACTCAGAAAAATACCTCAGATGTTGATATGACGTCTTAAAGCATCTGGCTCTTTCACCTGTCATGGCGGACTTGGCCTTGTTTGAAATAATAAGACTTATCCTTTCGGGTGTTTTTTTCAGATCCGTGTTCCATTGGGACAGCTGGAAACTGCTGTGGACCACAAGATGATTGCGGAGTGGTTTGACCTTTTGCCAGCTATTGATGACATTGACGACTAAATTGACGGCTCGAAACAAGGAACAAAACCTTTTCTCCTTCCAATTCATTGCGTCAGATGAGATATTTCGCTTAATAGTCTCAAAAGAAAAATGATAGGCTCTCAGTACCAAAGGAACGTTTTTCGTCGCTTTCACAGATCTGGGAAAAGGATCTGAAACTCGTTTGTGTCATATTTTACGAAATGCCAAAATCTTAGCCTAAGAAACTCAACTAGTATTCTAATGGCATTTTTGTTTATGAATCGTTTGAGAATCTTGACCTTATTGCAACTAACGAGCTGTGTACGTATTTGTGAACTGAGAGGTTCGAATGATGCCTTTCTTTTCTTGGGTGATGGATTTAAGTTTTTAAAAATCTGTGGCCTTCAGTTTTGGTGTTATATATTCAGCAGATGAAAGTATTCGTGAAATTTGACTGTCGATGAGGAAAAATAACCGTGGATATATTATGTGTTACTAATTTGAAGTGCGCTTTTTTGAGCAAGTATCTTGACCAGAAATGCTTTCCAATTTTTTTTTTCTTGGACCCGAGAGGCAACTTTTGGAAGATTCAGTGATGTGATTTTGATTAATTTTTTTCTTCGCCGAAGTGAGATTTTTTGGAAACTCTTTGTTGTGTTCTGTAGTGCGCTCAAAACTGACCTGCTTTTTTTTTTTTTTTTTTTTTCAAAAACCCGAGCGTCATTTTTTTGGAAATTACTAAGTTGCGTTTCACGTTTCGAAATATTTCTTTTAAAATATTTGGCTCCGAAGTCTGATGAAAAGGATCACGGACAACCAAATCAATTTTTTTTTTTTAGCAAAAACCCGAGCGTCATTTATTTGGAAATTGCATTCGTGAACATCTTTTTTATATTCAGCGTGTTAGACAGTAATAGGTGCTACGAAGTACAGTATACGAAATGCTGGATTTTTCTTGATATACGTCCTTGTGAAACTTGATGAAGAAATTTTAGTTGCCGTCTTTCGAAGCTTGCTTGAAAAGTGATGCGAACTTCTGAGTGAACTCTCGCCGTCCTGTAGGCATCGAAAAAAAAAATATATGTATAACCAATGTTTTTCTCGCCATTTTTTTTATGCGAATTCAAGTCGCGCAAGTTTACTTACAAAAAATTGTGACAGTTCCTAATTGAAATTTATCGTATCTTGGATTTAATGGTATGTTTGTGTTGAGCAAATGTACTGACTGAACAACGTTTAACTTGACTGAATACAGAAAAAATTCGATTAAAAATGCTGATCAAAAATAAGAAAGCGTCTGGATTTTTTGTTTCGAAATAGTTGATCAAAATGATCTACTGATTTCAAGGTTTTAATTGTTCTTGAGAAAATTGAATTCACTCCTAATTTTCATTGAATATTTGATTGAACATCATTATTAGAAATTGATGCTCTTTCAAGGGCACTAAAAATTTTTCAACATTTTGTAAGAAATGCTCGTGCGTCTTACATTCGCAAGTTAAAGTATTTTTTTTTAGTAAAGTTCAAGTTGTTGAATTTCTAGTTCAGTGTACGTCTTGAATTTGCTTGAATGCTGAATATATCTTTACATTTATGTTTTTAGTTTTATTCGTCACAGAATGGAGCAAGTCAGTGAAGAGGAAATGAAAGAGTTCCTGCGAACGAACATCAACGCGAAGACGGAGGTTGGGAAAATTTTGGCAGACGTGTCTCGAGACAAAAATTTGCGGAGTTGTTTGAACGCGTTTCGAACTGCAGTTGGCGCGCGAACGCCTCTGGAAACCACGAAAACTTTCCAGCTTTTACGCTCTGTTTTGAATGAAGAATCCGAAGCCGAGTCTTCTACTAGTTTCGGTGATTAATTTTGAATTAGCAGCAATTGTTTTTTGGGATGTAAGAAAGAAAATAATTTCCCTTTTTTTCATTTTCAGAGTCCTCCGAAGATGAGCCCGAGGATGAAAAGTCGAAAAAACGGTGAGTTGTACTGCACTGTCATGCTATCTTTCATTTGTAAAAATACGATTGGTGTCCCAAAATTATTGCGTGTCACAAAAAAATTTTTTGGCAATCGAACGAGGTCATTATTTTTATGACGCATTTTTGGAACAATCATTGCGATAAGATGAAGGTGAGGAAAAATTTATCGATTCGATAGACCTCAAATATATAGAAAAGCTGGTCGAGAGCAGGAGGCAAAATTTGAAACGAAATTCAAATCCTTCAGTTTCTCCGATTGTTTCGGGGTTTTTGTGACTGAACAGATAATACATAGAACTCAAAATTGTTTTATTAGGAAAAAATAAATTGAAATTTCAATTGAAGTATCCATTTTATTTTTGGTGGAACGGAAGTATTTTTCTCAAACCAAAAGTAAGTTGGTCATTGATCATTTTGTGAGTAGGCCGGTGATTCGCTCGGAGAAAACCTTCGAGTACGGTATTTAATTCTACGTCCGTATATTGTCCTTTTTTTAAAGTTTGATTTGTCAATTTTAGGCAGAAACTGGATCAGAAGCCCGATGTGGACGATGAGAAGGAGGCGCAAAGGAAGTTGTATTTCGCCAGGGCTAAACTCGTGCGAAATCCGGCCTTGGGGAATAAGAAAATGTTTATTCCCGTGGAATGGCCGAAACTAACAACTTTGTCCAGGTTTCACGTGGAGGAACAGCGAAATATTGTGGAGTGTCTCAGGATGTTTCCAACTGGTCGTCGTCCCGTCAAATTCAAATCGCAGGTGAAAAAAAAAAAAATTGATTTGGTTGTCCGTGATCCTTTTCATCAGACTTCGGAGCCAAATATTTTAAAAGAAATATTTCGAAACGTGAAACGCAACTTAGTAAACCTACACTTGTGCTTTCCTCATCACAGTGTAAAAGTTGAAATGCTTTTAATCGATATCACATGATTTAAAAATT